AATGCTTATGGTTAGGCTGTGTCTGACAGCACTAAGTCATTGCTAAGCCGTGAGCAACAAGAGCTATGGAGGGTGCACAATAAGAGTAAGGCAGGTTAAAGAGGAGGGGCTTGCAGTCAGCCGCCCGCTTTATAGGAAGAGTTGCAGGGAGTTTAAAGTCTTGTCCCAGTTGCCAGGAACACAGGGGCCAGGGAGCAGGATCCTGCCGGTCAAGTGTGGAACAGTGAGGGATTATGAGGGCTGTCCTTGATAGGACCCACGAAGGAGTTGGAGCTAGGAAAAGGGAAAGGAGTAGAATGGCAGATGTAGAACACAAAGGGCAGGGAAGTGCAGACCTGGCCAGGGCCAAGCTTGCCTTCCTGCCTTTCAGCAGTGCTGGCTGCTGCTCAGTGGTTGAGAGGAATGGGAGAGAGAGTTCTTTGGGGATGCATTTGGTCTGTTAGATTTATTTCCTTTTTTGAGACAGGGCTTCTCTGTGTAACAGTCCTTGCCGTCCTGGAACTAGCTTTGTAGACCAGGCTGGTCTTGAACACACAGAGATCCACCTGCCTCTGCTCTTGAGTGCTGGGATTAAAGGGATTAAAGGCATGTGCTACCACAACCCGGCCTGTTGGATTTTTTTTTTTTTTTTTGTGGTGCGGGGAAACTGAATGCAGGACCCTGTGAATGTCAGTTCACCACTGAGTATTATACATTTTGTGTCTTCTGCAGACTCCGTTTCCTGAGGGTAAGAGCCTTACAGTGTCTTGCAGAACAGGGGGCAATAAATTTTGTGCTTTTAGCAAACAAGTCATTAAGAGAGATTATGCAGAAAGACTTGCCAGTACCATGCGGCTTCTGCTAGTGGGAAAGCTGGGGAAGTGTCAAACCTGACTCCTGCCTGGAATTCTGAAGAAAGAAGGAAAAAGGATGGCATCATTGTTGGAGACAGTGTCCAAAGGGAAGGCAGAGCTGTGTCTGCAGACAGGTTAGGAGTTCAGTGTTGAATATTTGCAGTTTGAGGCTAAGTGAGACATTCAAGAGGAATTTATGGAGCCTAAGGATGCGGAACAGGAACTCAGGTGATAGCAGAAGACCAAAGATAAAAGGTAGATAGACCTTAGTTGAGAGGTGGTGGCTGGGGTTGCAGGAGTGCCAAGCTTGCTGAGGAAAGCCCAAAAATCCAAGAACTGAGTCTGGAGTGGTATTCACATGAAGGGCCGGAAGAAGGCCGATACTCAAAGCAGTTCTGTCCAATATGTCAGCCCCTGACCACGGGCAGCCATTTAAGTTTGCATTCATTAAAATAAAATAACTTAATTGCCCAGCCACACTGATCATATTTCAAGCACTAATGGTTGCGTGTGGTTAGTGGTTGCTGTAAGGAACAGATAGGAAGCATTTTCGCTGCCCTAGATTGTGTGTGCGTGCATGTGTGTTTGTGTGTGTTTAAACTAGACCGGGTGGCTAAAATGGAGAAATATTCATTTGAGAGAAAACCAGAAAGCAGATGAGGTTGAAGGAGGAGAGAGTACTCAGGAGGAAGTGTTTAGTGCCGAATGTTGAAACTGCTGTCAGGAAGGCTAGCTCTTGAGAGCTTGCTTAAGGAAAACTCAGACCACTCCAGAGGCAACCGCACCATCCCACAGAGGGTTCACATATAGGTGATGGGGACTGAACATGGGGTCTCTGACATTCGACAAGCACGTGGCCATTGAGATAACCGGCCAGCCCTCTTCACTTCTTGAGATAGTTTCACTGTGTAGCCCAGCAAGCCAGTTTGAGATTCTCCTGCCTCAGCATGCCAACTGCTGGGATTTCAAGAATGTACTAGCACGCCTGGTCTACAGGGAGTGTTTTAAACGCAAGAAACTTGTTCGTGTCTCTCTCTTCAGTCAAGAGAACTGTGAGCACGGCCAAGTGTCCTGAGTCTGTGCCCTGCTCCCCTTCTCCTTTTAGCTCTGCTTCCAAACCCTTCTACCTATGGGTCATGGCTGTCCTCTGGTAGCCGCCCACACATCGGAAGCCGTCTCCCAGCTGCTCCCTCTTTATGGTCCTCACTTTAGTCCAGTTCTCCGGTGACTAAGGCTGGAGCCCCGAGACATGAGTCACTCCCGTACTGGTCAGTCAAGGCATGCTTGTTCCACCGCCTTTACAGGTACTCATTGAAAAGGTTTGGTTTAAGTTGAAGACGATGATACAATATTTCAGACAGCTCAGTAGAGCTATGGCGCTGCACTCGGTCTAACAAGTAAAACTTGACAGCATCTGGGAAGTCCATCCAAATCTCATTTTCTTTACATTTTATTTTCATATTTTTTTTATGCATGATGTTTGTGGGAGGGCTTGTGTGCTACAGCATGTGTGTCACAGTAAGGGGACAACTTGTGGGAGAGAGTTCTTCTGTCATGTGGGTTTCTGTGACCAATCTTATGCTGCCAGGATTGGCCACAAGCCCTCTGGTCTGCTAAGTCATCTGGCTGGTCCTCATTTTCCTCTTTAACCATTTAAAACCTAGCGTCTGTCATCCCTGTGAGGAATATTACAGTGAATTTCTGTATTGGTATCACTTTTGTTGCTGTGATACAATGCCCTGACCTTAGCAGAGGAAAGCTCCCTTCAGTTTAGAATTCGACTTCACAGTCCTTTCTAACTGGCAGGTCAAGCAAGCAGAAATTCAGCATGTCGCATCGCATACACTGAGAGAAATTAATGCTTGCACAACTCAGTCTACTGTCTCCACTCTTAGACAATCCAGGACAACCTAGGGGATGGTGCCACCTGTGGTGGGCTGTATCTTCTACATCAATTAAGACAGCCCCTCATAGGCACAGGCAGACCTCATCTGGACAGCCCTCACTGAGACACTCTTCTCGGGTGATTATAGATCGTGTCAACACAACAACTAGAACCAACAGCTACCGTATTATTTATATCCATGTATGGTCACAGGTTGGTGTGTTTTAAAACTTATGCTTCCGTAACTAGCTCCTCCTCACACACTGCTTTTTAAAAGCGGTACCAAGTTCTACATCTTCTGAACTAACTCACTGGTATAGATGAAAAAAGAAAAATCAAGAGCCCAGTTAAACATGCCCAACTGTCCTGACAGCACTGACATTTTCAGCTAGATATGGTTAAGACTAATCACTGATCATGATTTCATATAAATGTTCAAGCTGTTGTTCAGTGCAGCACCTTACAGTCCCAGCTTGGTTTCCTTGTCTTTCCTTGGAGTTGTAGCTGATTTATTACTGATTTTTGTCCTAGTCTACAGAGGAATAGGGTGATCTGGTTTTGTTTCTTGGCCAGGAATAGCTCATGAAAATCTTGAGAGAAAACAAGACAAGAAACTGGGCCAAGGCATGAGAACGGGAGAAAACAGATCTGTTTTTTGAGATTTATTCATGATATTTATACTTTAAAATTTTTATTTAATGACTATACCAAAACATATTATTCCATTGTGAATTATACTGTATTAGTTATTACATGTATTATATATACATTTATGTTTTGTATACGGTTTGAATGTGTCTGCACTAGTTAAGAAAAAAGTAATCTTTCAAGACACCCAATAGTGGGGCGGTAGTGGTGCATGCCTTTAATCCCAGCACTCAGGATGAGGCAGGCTGGATCTCTGAGTTTCAGGCCAGCCTGGTCTACTACAGAGTGAGTTCCAGGACAGCCAGGGCTACACAGAGAAACCTGTCTCAAAAAACCAACCCTTCCTTGCAGGGGTGGGAAAAATAGTCTATAACAATAACTCTTTCAGATGTGGTTGGAGAAGTTTACTGAATCTCACCATAGTTTTGAGTGATGTTTTTGCTAACATGCATTCTTTAAGAGCTATGTATCAAAATAGCTGGTTTGGGTTATCATTTTTGTGATCTAAAAAGATTGTTCATTCACAATATAATAGAGAATATGTGTCATTGTCAGCATTAAAAATATCAGAAAATGTCTGAAATATTCTTTTTAGAGCATCCAGAGGGGGACGAAGTTACAAGTTTGTGACATCCTCTCCCATTCTACTTGGGTTTCACCTCTATCTTGCTCTTCCACTCATCCATCCCTCCAATCAGTCCATAATGACAAATATTCTTTAAAAAATTAGGTGTAAAAGTGTACTATTTATACCATTCAATTTAAAAAGCAATACTTCTAGTGAAATATAGGAACACAGGGAACTACTGTTAGAAGAAATGAATCCTATTCTTGGATTTAGAATTTCAAATTTGTTTTTGCATGTCTGCACATGTGTGTGCTTTAAGGACAAGTCGTTGGTAAGATTTTGCATAACAAGCACAGGTTTGCTGTTCTATGAGCATAGATAACAAATACGAGTTTTCTGGAACTGAGATGCATTTTTTTTTTTGCAAATGAAATAAGATTTTTTTTTTAAAGTTAGTGCATTAGTTTAGATGTTTCGTTTTCACATTATCACAAAATATAACTACAATAATCTGAAGGTCGATTCTAGCTTGAGACAGACTTCTAATAAAAGGAGTATTGTGGACAATGTTTCCTCCTCTTGAATTTAACCTTTTAGCAAATGTATCCAAAGGTACACAGGCAGCTATGTCTCTCGTTGGCAGAGCACACAGAAAACCTGAGCATTTTTCTCCTGAATGACAGCAAGTCATTAAGGATGCCAAAGGAAGGAGTGTTAACCTAAATCACTAAGTGAAAAAGTGTACCTAAATGCTCCCAAGGGGGAGGGCACTTTAGTGAGATTTACTATTTGAACAAATGTTGGCAATTGTTGACTTGCTTTCCTCAGGAGGATTAAGAAGCAGCAAGACAATTTTAAAAGGTAATTGTGCTTCATTAAGTAAAATATAGCTAAGCCTGTTTTTGTATCACGGGCCAGAATGAAAACTTTTTCCTTATGAAGCGACTTGAGGTACCTTTTAGCAATAACCGCCTGCTTCTAGGGTCCATAAAAGATGGTTGGAAACCAGGGGCTAAAAGGGGTCTGTAGGGAGTATGGGAAGGCGATGGATCCGACAGAGGATTGAATGTGTGTGAAAAAGTCCTCCTCCAGCCTCGGAGGGGGTGTCTCCCCCAATACCAGCTCCCTCCCCCAGGGCTCATGGGGCGGGTCCGGTTTGCTCAGGAACAGCGGCGACCGCAGCAGCAGCCTTGGGGCTGAGCGGCGGTGGCCTCCTGGCAGCGCCGGCAAGAGGCAGCTCCGAGAGCCCAGGCCCTGGGGAGATCCAGCCCAGGCGGCTGCCAGGATGGAGGAAACGTCGAGCGGAGCCGGAGCCACCGGGGACGGACTTCCTCCCCAGCTCAGCTCCCCGACAGCTTGGCGAGGCCTGCTCCAAGGGCCGGCGAGTAGAGGAGGCTTGTGCCTCGGGCCTGGCAGCGGCAGCCGAAGGACGAGGCAGGCACGGCGGGGTAAACGCGCGAGCTGGGGCCGTTCTCAGGAACCTACGGCGCCACGGCCGCTCATTGTCTCTCCCCTTCCACCCGGGGGCAAACAGGAAGCCCGCCGCCTGGCCAAGCGACGGACGGGCGCCAGGACCAATGAGCGCAGCCGACGGCGAGCGTGGCGGCAAATGAGCGCCGGGAAGAGGGGCGGAACTTCCGGGCGGGCTGTCACCCTCTTCCCCCCTTTTGGGCTGGAGGCTCCACCTTTTGTGTTTCCCGCACAGTCAATCAAAATAGGAAAAAAAAAATCCCCGGACCGCTCGGGCCGTGTCCGCCGCCGCTTCCCGCATCCTCTCCCGCCGCCGCCGCCTTCGCTTCTCACCATGTGTAAGGCGGCGGGGAGCCCCGCCTGAGGTGTCCTAAACACACTATGACCGGTACGTAAGAGCCGTGAGAGAGCAACCCTCGCTGCCTCCGCCGCTGCCGCCCACAGCCAGCCCGGGGCCGCCACCGCCGGCTCCGGGCCCCGAGCGTGCGGACCGAGTGTCTGTGGAGGCGCAAAGCCGCACTCCCCGTCTCCTCCCTTCCTTTCCCCTTCCCCGCCAGCCAGCGTCCAGCCCTCCAGC